TGAGAGGAGGAAGCAGGCTCCCTGCTGAGCAGAGAGCCCGATGAGGGGCTCAATCCCAGGACCCTGAAATCATGACCTATTTTTTAATAGGGCCGCCTGGGTGGCTCAGTGGGTTAAGCTGCTGCCTTCGGCTCAGGTCATGATCCCAGGGTCCTGGGATCGAGTCCCACATCGGGCTCCTAGCTTGGCGGGAGCCTGCTTCTCCCTCTGCCTCTGCCTGCCATTCTGTCTGCCTGTGCTCACTCGTGCGCGCTCTCTCTCTCTCTGACAAATAAATAAATAAAATCTTTAAAAAAAAAATCTTAAAAAACATTTTATTTTTAATTAATCGCTGCACCCAATGTGGGGCTTGAACCCACAACCCCACAATCAAGAGTCACATAGTCTACTGACTGAGCTGGTCAGTCACCCCAAGAACTGAATTTTTAACATAACTCTGGTAAAATACACCCAAAATTTACCATCATAGCCATTTTTTTTTAAGATTTTATTTATTTGTCAGAGAGAGAGGGAGAGAGAGCGAGCACAGGCAGACAGAGTGGCAGGCAGAGGCAGAGGGAGAGGGAGAAGCAGGCTCCCCGCCAAGCAAGGAGCCCGATGCGGGACTCGATCCCAGGACGATGGGATCATGACCTGAGCCGAAGGCAGCTGCTCAACCAACTGAGCCACCCAGGCGTCCCCATCATAGCCACTTTTAAATGTTTCCGTTGAGCAGTGTCAAGTAGTACTGTGCAGCCGTCCCCACAGCCCATCTCCAGCGCTCTTTTCATGCAGCAAAGTCACTGCTCTGTTCCCATTAAACCCTAACCCTCCAGCCCCTGGTACCCACCAGCTCCTTTCTAGCCTTAGGAATTCGATGACTCTCGCGACCCCAGATGAGTAGAACCAGAAGGTACTTGTCTTTCAAAGATATCGCAGTTTCAACATGCCCCTAAGTGACTTCCAGACTAAGCACCCATCTCATCCTCTCCCCTGCAGTTTCACTCCTGTTCTGAGCAGTGTTTATTAGACCCTTTGTATTCGGAACAAGGTAGTTTATTTTTAAGGACAGAGACAAGAGGGGACAGACACCCTTTATCTTTTGAGAAAAAACCATATGTGCCTTCAACACAGCAGAAGACAGAGGTGGCTCTTCTCAACGCCAGTAAGATTTTATTCTACATTGGCTTTCCCTCTCCACTCTCGCGACATTTGCATGAACAACACAACGAAGCTACGTTAGTGCACATTTAAAACGACGCCAGACAGAAGTCGGGATTCCAGTAACACACTCAACAGCTAAAACTACAGTAATGCCCTTAGTTTCAAAGCTCCTAGTGCTCTAAGTGCTTATAAAAGTGGATGGCACTGGGGCGCCTGGGTGGTTCAGTGGTTTGGGCCTCTGCCTTCGGCTTGGGTCATGGTCCCAGGGTCCTTGGGATCAAGTCCCGCATCGGGCTCTCTGCTCGGCCAGGAGCCTGCTTCCTCTCTCTCTGTCTGCCTCTCTGCCTGCTTGTGATCTCTCTCTGTCAAATAAATAAATAAAATCTTTTAAAAAAAGAAAAAAAGGTGGATGGCGCTTAACTGTTACTTTTATCAGACTAAGACATGTAAGGACGACACTGGAACCCTGGAAGAGAGGGAAATCTCTATACTGAAAAACCTCATTCCCTTTATTGATAGCAATGTTACACCACTTCTGACATTTTACTCACCTGGACTAAAAAAAAATTGAGGGGTGGGGGCACAAAAGTAGGAGAGGCTTCTCCATCTGTAAGCTTGTTGAGCAACACATGCTTTCAGATGTGAGGGAAAGGCAGAACCGGACAACTCATCATCGTGGTTTCGTTAGTGCTGCCCATGAAGGGCATCCCGCTTGGGGGGTGGGCGCGGCAGCTTCACTGCCCTCTCCAACCAGGCCCTCCAACATAGTCCCCTTCACACTTACACAGTAGCCAGCTCGCTCAGGGCCTCCTGGTAGCGCAGGTACTCACTCTGGCCAAAGACCTAAGGAAAGAGGAAGGCAAGAGTCCCTCAGGCTGGGGTACTCCGTTAGTTCCCTGAAGGAAAAAGTGGCCACCCAGCTTACCCCTGTCCCATAGCGTGCCGTCTCATAGCCATCCAGCAAGGTATCAATGAGGGCCTTGCGCACGCCCTTAAAAGGGGTACTAGTGTTCCGAAGATCTAGCAGGTAGGAGCGGAAATTCTTGCCCAGTAAGGAACGGGGATGCCTGCCTTCAGCGTGAAATGGTATCTCTGTGGAGGTAACAGACGAGAGTGCTAACACTTCTCCCACTCATCAGTGTTTCTCGTTAACCTCCCAAGTTCAGAAATGGGTCCAACAACTGACTGACTTCGGGGGAATTCTAATAGAATGGAGAAGAGCACAGGTATAAAGCTGTGTCTAAGTGCTCACTTGGTGGTGGGAACACAGCTGTAAGCTACGTCAATGGTACACAGTACTGTCCCCATCCAATTTACACTCCTGGCTCTGAAATACAAACCATATTTTATCAGACAGGAAGCATATTTGACAATGGTCATAGAATAGAAAAAACTCAAGAACCATTTATCTTGGTCTTACTGAAAAAGCAGATGTCACCTGTCTTTTGTGGAAAAAGCAGTCAGTCACCACCACCCCATCAATGAAGCTGAAGGTCTATGAACAAATGCACTCACTGGAGAGTAATGTGCCTCTGTCATTTCCTCAAACAAAACGATAACCTGGTACTCTCAAAACTCTAGGAAACTCCTCCTAGCCGGAGATTAGAGAAAGGACAAATTCTAATATATACAAAGAGGGCTTCCTCTCTCTTCCCCAGGTGAGCCTCCAGGACCCTGACCATCCTGCCAGGCAGGCCTTACCGGAGGCACGGATGGCATCCAGAGCTTTCATCCTGTAGAGATAGTTGTAGCAATCTGTTGAGAGAGAGACTGGTCACAGACTTAACCTCAGAAGACTGTGCAAACTTCAGCAAGCTAATAAACAGCCCCCCCGCATCTGACAGGTCCCCAGCAACAGAGGAACCACAGGTGTAGGTTTTGCCAGGGGCTATGCTAACAGCTTGGAGAGCAAAGGAATTCTGAACTGAGGATTCCTCACTGAAGTATCCTCCAAGAGCACGCCACGTACTCTGATTTCCCTGGGTTTCTAGCCGTAGCAGTCTTGCATCACCATCTGCAAGGAGCTGAGGCTCATACTTGATATCTTGAACCCTGGACAGCCGGATATCAATTTCCTCTTTCAAGTCCTGTTCACACAGAGAAAAGAACATGCCATCACTTACCCTATATTCTGCTTTCCATCACCCTGGAAATGGGGCAGAGCAAGTGAACAACTAAGACAAAAGCAGCTGTGGGGCGCCTGGGTGGCTCAGTGGGTTAAGCCGCTGCCTTCAGCTCAGGTCATGATCCCAGGGTCCTGGGATCGAGCCCCGCATCGGGCTC